AAAGACTCATCAGGTATTTTCACTAATAAAAACATTTTTCACAAGAATGATAGTAATAGTAGCCATTTGCAAACAGCAAAATGGAACTGTAGGCTTTAGATATTATTGTCTCAACAGTGCAAATTTTAAAAAGGAGCCTAAAGCACTTGCTATAAAAGAGATAAAGAGACTCATTCAGACTACAATGGCTGTGTTCTGGATACTAGAAGAAGACACATTAGAATGAGTTTAAAATTGAACAAGTGCCAAAAACAGCTTGACAAATTGCCCATAAAAACCATCCTGAAATGACAACTCCCACAAGCTAGGAGGTTGCTGACACCTGCAAGTAATTTAGCCAAAGGAGAGTGTGATCAGAAGGTACAATTACCAACTACAAATGAATGGCTGAGCATAAAAGGAAAGCGTGAAGTAAGAAGAGTTTTGAAAGTCATGTTCAGCAGTGGTAACAATATAAGTCACAGAGTTTTTGAATTGACCATCAAATTGTAGAGAGGACACAGGCACTAGACTGGAAGGACTTGGAAAGTGCTACAGTCTGTACAAACGCTATCACTCAAAAGCAGCAGGAGAGTGGCATAAAATGAAAAGAGGCTGAACATTTAACTTATATCTGTCTGCCTTGATTAGTTTTCCTCTCAAGAGCCAGAGAGGGATGTAGGACAGAGAGACAGGCAAGTTTAGCTTATGTAACACCCTCATATTTTCAGCCTAATAGAAAGTTCATCATCCAGAAACCTGGCTCAAAATAAGTGGCTGAAGGTGCACAGCAGGCAAGCCTTTAAGAAAATGCTAGAGAGCACTATTAAAAATTCTGTTTTTAAAAATATTGAATATATATATATACACACACACACACACACACACACACACACACACACACACACCCCTCTACCCCAATATAACACGAATTTGGATATAACGCGGTAAAGCAGTGCTCCGGGGGGGCGGGGCTGTGCACTCCAGCAGATCAAAGCAAGTTCGATACAACGCCGTTTCACCTATAACGCGGTAAGATTTTTTGGCTCCCAAGGACAGCGTTATATCGGGGTAGAGGTGTGATATATATAATAATTTAAAAAAAAAAAAAAAAAAAAAAAACCACCAGACTGATGGGGCGAGGCTTCAAGAAAGATTTTGCAATGAACTGCTTCAGACTGATTAGTCCATGACCTAGACCAGAAATGGTAGCATTTTTTGAATGACACAAAAACAAGCAATTTTCATAACTTGTTTCTTTCACTCTAGGGCAGGGGTAGGCAACCTATGGCACATGTGCCGAAGGCGGCACGTGAGCTGATTTTCAGTGGCACTCACACTGCCTGGGTCCTCGCCACCAGTCCGGGGGGCTCTGCATTTTAATTTAATTTTAAATGAAGCTTCTTAAACATTTTAAAAACCTTATTTACTTTACATATAACAATAGTTTAGTTATATATTATAGATTTATAGAAAGAGACCTTCTATAAACGTTAAAATGTATTACTGGCACGCGAAACCTTAAATGAGAGTGAATAAATGAAGACTCGGCACACCACTTCTGAAAGGTTGCCGACCCCTGCTCTAGGGAATCCTGCTTATGAGCAAAGATCAGAAACAAGAAATGTTAGTGCTGCTCCAATCCTTGAGGAAGCCACTAGACAGGAAATTTATCCTTGCGTGCCACCGGTGTGCATATTGGATTTGAAAGGCAGACAAGAAAAGGCAGACATGGGATAAGGTTGACTCCCCTACTGAGGGGCTGCTGGTCCAGAGAAGATTTTTAATTTGTAAAAAGGCCAGCCTGAGAAAATTTTACTTACTCTGGTGAGCAGCTACTTGCACGAGCAATTTCACAGACCTCAGAATGGACGACTTGTGAGAGTAATTGCTCATCAGAGCAATTTAAGTCTCCACCATCTGGCTCAAAATGAGAGAAAAGTTTCAGATGGTTGGTCTGTGTCACTTGGGCTTTTTGCTCAGTGAGCAACAAATAAGCATGTGTCTTTCAGGATTTTTTTTTCCCCCCTTTTGTCCTTTGCTCGTTTGAACCCTTTCAATAGGAAACAGAGCTTTAGAAGAGTTACAACTTGTGGGTTTTTTGAGTTAAGAGGTTAAGGAATACATAACAGAATCTTTCAATATGTTTAGATACAACTCAGAAATTTTCAAAACATGTTATAAGCACTAAACAGGTTGACAATAAGACATCAAAATTTTCCCCCTCAAAGGCAACATGAAAATTATTCTTTTAAAATTGGTTGTGCCCATTTGCTCTTTATAATGCAAAAAGAACTGAAGAAATTTATTCAGCTTAGAAGTATGCAGAAAGTCACATCTAGCTTTCCCTATTTTTGCTGTAGGACTTTGTAGTGATCTCAGATGTTGATTAGGCAAGCTCTGCCACTGCCTAACTGAAGAAGCTTGAGGATTGAATCTTTAGTAAAGGTGGCCTCTCTCACAAGTGCTTATTGGACTTTAGAGTTAAAGTTTTATACACTTACATTAATTTTCCCTTTTCTCAGTTGCTTAGCTGTTCTGACTGATAGAATTTTGACATCAGGAGGCCAGAGTTCCATATCATATAAAATCTGAATTTATTAAAAAAAACAAAAAACAAAACTCGCACCAGCTTTCAGGCTCTCGTTATGGCTCAGTGAAGAAGAAAAAAAAAATCCCTTCAACTTCTTTTGCAGGTGATTTTTAAAGAACAATCCTGCTATAATTGCATTAGAAACAACCTGGGAATAGCAAGTGTGTTTTTGGAAACTTTAGATCGTATGTCAGATATGAGCTCCTTCTGCTGCTTTAAAGGCAGCATTTTGCTAACCATGGCTTTTTCCACAAAAGAGCATCATGTTTGACTCGCACATGACTTTGCCTCCAAAGCAGTGTACATTCCTGCAGCCACAGCTGAAATGATGCTAAATGGCACAAAAAGGAGCAAAGGACAGAAAGCTTGACTTTTGCAACTCAAAGACTCATGAAGGAAAGAGAACGATTCAAACTTTTAAAAGTTACAGTAGACAAAAAAAAGCTGGATTTTCACTAACATTACAGCTCTATGAAAATATGACTATATACATATATAAAAATGGCAAGGTTGTGACTTCACTATATGCTTTGTTAGGAAATTTCTGTATTCATTTTTTCCTTTCCTTTGCTGCTTTGTTTCAATAGCCTTCTCCCTCACTCAGTATCCATTTAAAAAAAAAAAAAGTTTTAGTTGTAAATGTGAATTTTGTGCTCGAGAAGGGTGCCATGCTTGCCCTGGAGACCAAAGTCCCATTTTTCTACAGAATAAATATAGCACATAGAACAGCAGCAACATATTTTCCTCAGAGTGTCAACCTGCAGAAGTTATGACATTCCTCACCAAAGCCAGGAAGGTAGTTTGTTCTCCATGTCTGGTCAATCCTGGTGTAATTTAGTAATAATTGTAGTGATGACTTCGGGTGGCTTTGTCAATTAGTAGTAATTGTGATGGTAGCTTTCCATTTCCACTTGATGTTGAAATCATGATCATGAATTAATATAAATTTTACAACAGAAATTGTGTAAGGTTGAGGAAAAGATGGAGAGGAGGGAGGAAACTTGTTAGTTCAAGTATCTTAATCAGCAAACATGGAAATGTAATTTTGGACTACCTGGTAAAGTGACTAGGTATTCAAAATTAGCTTGATCCTGAAGAAGTCATTCAGCAAGAGGAAAGGAAGTTAAGGTCAAGTTGCTAAGTGGTGAGTGGTTTGGGGAATACAGAAGAGCCACATTAAGCATGGCAGAGAAAGGCTCAGAGTATCCCTTCCTTATATGCATGCAGAGGAGATCCTTCATGTGAGGATTTCCTCCTGTATATTTAGAAGGGGAGGTGCTATCTCTAAGAGAGCCAGCACCGGACAGTCCAATAGGGCCTCTTCTGTAGCCCCCAACCTCCACCTCTCAAGGAAAGTTTCACTTAACGGAGTTTTGCAGCACTTCTGGTCCTTTGGGAGTCATTAGAGATTGATCTGGGTCTTGGGGGGCGGGGGGAGAAAACACACCCTCCTCATTTTTTGAGAGACCAAGGACAGAAAAAAAATTGGTAGGACCCCAGCATATTACTTGAGTCTACTATCCTTAGCAGATAGGGTCACTGAGGTAGCTTTGCTTCTAAAATTTAGCCCAAGCCCTGTAAATCCTGACTGCAGCCCTGTTAAGGCCAGACGTAAGAAGGCATATTCTCTCCTCCTTCCACATGCAGAATTCCTACTCCTTTTAATGGAAGTCCTGCACATGGACTGACTGAAACTATAGTTTTGGCCTCTAACTATCACCCCAAATAGAAAGGGCTGTCTTTTACGTTTCAGCCTTTGTAATTTAGACAAAGCTACTCCCATGGTACCATATGGACTCGTGTTAAGAGTAGCGTGAGGTTAAAGAGTCATGTTCCAATGCAATGGTGCACCATCCTAGCCCTAACATGCAATTTCATACATACTACTTTTTTTTAAATCCACAGTTGAACTTGAGTATTATATAAAGATTATGCAAATTTAGACCTAGTCAGTTGGGAAATATCCTGGATTTGGATAAATCATTATTGGTGTATTACAACTGCTTATCACCTATGAGTAAGGAATGGATATAAAAAAAGAAATACAAAGTATGAGAATACTTGCTGTAAGTTCTGGGCTGGATTCCATCTCTTAAAGAAACCAAACTTGTATGGTAAGACACTGCTTCTCTTATGAACTGGTTTACATATTCTTCAGGACAATATCTTCATATTTGCGTACTGAGGATTCTCCCTTCTCCCCATACAATTCTCATTGTGAAAGGGACACTTGAGATTTACTCCCCACTTTAAAAGTAGAGAGAACAACAGCATCTTGATCTTATTTGTATACCAGCCACAGTGCCGCTATGACCTGTGTTTTGTAAGATGGTTAAGTACTATGGTAACAGGCTATCTTACAATCTATTACACTGCAGTTTATAAAATCAGAAAACAAAAAACAAGCAATTTTTCAAAACACTTTTATTTCTTTTTTAAACAGTTTGATAAAACCATTCATTGGCATTTAGAGTTCAACTGTAAACAATCACAATAAATTGCTATTGTGTATTGAACTTTATACATTTTTACACAAAATTGCAGTAACAATCCATAGAAGTAAGCTACATTCAGCATATTTGAGAATGGATTTGGCTACTGAAACACTATACTGGAAAAATCTGTGCGGTCAGGTAAGTAAAATTATTCAAAAGCTGGATGTTTAACTTCCTCCTGTGGTGTAAGTAAGCAGCATCATAATTCATCAGCTTCTATAAGTGTATATAGTGCTAGTGCTATATATTAAAAAGCCTGCTTTCACTCAGAACAAAATTTCAAGTTAACTACAGAAACTCCTCGCTCACGAGTTAGAGTATTATATAAGAGTTTCAAACAGACAAAGTTATTGTAAACATCTTTCCTTACACCAAATGGGTATGCCACATTTAGATACATTTATAGTCCTTTTGGGCTGACACACTCTAGGAGACCTTCTCAATTCTTTATGTTGCAGTAAGAGTTTTAAAGCATGACCAAAAAGAGTATCTAGTTGTTTTGTATGCAAAAGCCTATAGTAAGAGTTTTAGCATTTATAGCCAAGACAATTCACATTACCATGCATATAAGCATTGAAAACTAAATTGTTACCCACCATTTGGGGATGGATTCTGTGTCAATTGAAGCCAGTGGCAAGGCTCCCACTGACTTCAGTGGTGAAGATCAGGCACTAGCTAATCTAGAGTGAGTTGATTTTAAAGAGAGACTGTCAACTTAAAAAATTACTTGTCATAACAGTAGGTGGTAAATACTCAAGATGACTATAACCAAAAGATTAGAGTTGTTTGTTTCAGTTTGTTAACTTTAAGTCAGTTTCTCAGTCTGTATGGGTCTTCCACACACCAGAGAAACATGACTTTTTTTCATGTTAAAAAGTAGTAACAAAAATGGGCACGGTTATACAGTCTCTGATACCATTTCTGAAATTCCTTTAGATCACTTTTTGAAATGGATTAGGTTTCAAATTAGCAGTATCACTTTAATGAACAGCTGAACCTGGGTCTTAATACTGCATCCTGTGGACATCCAAAACTCCCCTTGATGTCAAGGGAAGTTTTGGTTGCACAAGCACTGCAGGACCAGCCTCAAAACACATACCAATCCAAAATCAACCGAAAAAAGAATCAAGGACTGAAATTTAGAGCATGATGTTCAAACAATCACTTTCAGGCTATTATTCTGACATTTGGGCGTCAAAACAAGTAGCCACATGTCCTTAATGTATTTAACATGAAAAATTTTTTATCAGTAAATATGAATGGGTCAGAGAAAACATCCTCTGAATTTTCATAAGTGGACCTCTAAATCATTTATTTGGGGAAGTGTATCATGTATTTTTACATGAGAAATGATAGATTTTAGTCTAATTTCAAGAGAGGTTCACCACATTAAAGATTAGTAAGTAGAACTTTAAAAATAAGTTACTTTGTCTAAAGGCTTCAACATCTTTCAAGTATTATAGAAAAAAGATCAAGCCAATGTCATAAAATATGCCTCATTTAACACAATCATTATGAAAAAGATTGCAACCAGGTTTATTCAGACAGTTCAATATAACTCTTAAAAACTCATGACAGAGTATCTTACCAAGAAACCCAAGCAGCATAACATGGTTATTTTGGTTACTAGCTGCAGGCCTTGATAGATTTGATGCCACAAGTATCTGACAACATAAATAAGATTACAATTCACAATCACAACAATAAAACCAGTGGGGATTTGGACTGTCAGGTAAATGTTTTTCAAAGCAGCTGGTTTAGAGAAAAAAAGCAAACAAAATAAACTTACCACCGAGGTGGTATATCTCATAAGACTAACAGGTAAACTCCGATAAGCTCTCATGACAGATGTCAGTGTTAATTCGCTGTCAACATTTGTTACGATAACCAAATATAGAGGAGCCTATCCAAAACAGAAGAGGGTAGTGATGTGGGCAGGAGGGAAGTATACAGGACCAAACCATTTTCTCTGCTAAACTGGTAAAAGTATGAGAAAGAGGCTAAGGACCTGCTCCTATGAAGAAAGTCCACGTTTTTTCAAGCATGCAACATAAAAAGTTCAGTCGAAGCACTTATGTTCCTCAAAACTCAGAAAATAAGCCACAACAAGCAGTTCCCACAATATGTTGCAGGTATTCCTTGCCTGGGCCCATAAAGTTTCCTTGTGAGGTATACATGTAATTTACATGAATGCCAATATCAAGGCTAGCAGGTACTTAGTACAGTTTCTACTGCTTTTTTGAAGTTTAACACTAAAGGGCCAAGACAGTTTACACAGCATTCAAACACATGGCTGTGGTTTTGCCTATACACATAGTTCTCTGCAGGCACATAAAAAAGGCTCAAGGCATTATTCAATATTTGTTTTAAACATACTTAAAGTGATCTTTAAAAAGAGCAGTGCAGTATTTGCTTAAGTTCCACTTCAGTCAAGAAACGTGTTTATAAAAAGTTACTAGATAATTCTCAATATTAGATTTTTTTATTTTCTTACCTTTCTTTAACCACTTTGTTTGTTTGCTTTGTAGTAGCAGAAACAGAACTCTTGATATGTAGTTCAGGAACGAGCTTGGTACTGACCAATGCCTTATAAAACTGAATTTTAAAAGCATTAAGTTGTTTAGTAACTAGTCTTATATTTCACTCTGATGTTTTAAATACTTCTGACTGACAGCCATAACTTAGCTTTTTTTTAATATTTCCAATTTTTTGCTTGCTATCTTCTAGTCTTTTGAAATTACCCACCCCACTAAAATATATTCTTTCCTAGTACAACAGATTCCTTAGGACAGCCTCAACCCTAGAGAAGCATTTACTGTGAAAACTGATTCCTACATCGGATTTACTGAGGCCATGAAACTCCCTGAAAACCAATTCAATGTTTTTAGTCCAGACATTTTCCCTTTTTTGAGATGAGACCATCACATCAGGTATAGTGAAAAAAAAATTAATGGTGTACACTTAGCTGTACACAGTAGCCATGTGTATAAATATTACACATCTATGAAAGACTCTCTCCCCTTTGGTTTACAATTCTCCCTCCCAGGGGGAAGACACTGACATTTCTGTGTTGCTGTCTCTGCCAGATAATTCTAGTAGTACAAGAATACTGCTTTTGATTTATGCTTCTCCAGCCTTGACGTGCAGTGTATGTATGGCATGTGAAATGCTACCACACTAAACAATCCTTTATTTCAGTCTCAGATGGAATGTTTAAGTTACCTTTTAGGTTTACAATAAATCAAATTCAAGGCATGTTAACTTATTATTAGAATGGATTTAATCCACTCAGAATTAACACTCTTTAAACACTGTTAAAAGATTACATAGAGATGACAAACGACAATTCAATCACCTTTCTGTGTCTAGTATCAGGGGGTAGCCGTGTTAGTCTGTATCCACAGAAACAACAAGGAGTCCGGTGGCACCTTAAAGACTAACAGATTTATTTGGGCATAAGCTTTCGTGGGTAAAAAACCCACTTCTTCAGATGCATGGAGTGAAAATTACAGATGCAGGCATTATTATACTGACACATGAAGAGAAGAGAAGAGAGTTACCTCACAAGTGGAGAGCCAGTGCTGACAGGGCCAATTCAATCAGGGTGGATGTAGTCCACTCCCAATAACTGATGAGGAGGTGTCAATTCCAGGAGAGAGAAAGTTGCTTTTGTAGTGAGCCAGCCACTCCGTCCCTATTCAAGCCCAAATTAATGGTGTTAAATTTGCAAATGAATTTTAGTTCTGCAGTTTCTCCTTGAAGTCTGTTTCTGAAGTTTTTTTATTCAAGTATGGCTTGACTTCAAAGAGACCTCCTCATCAGTTATTGGGAGTGGACTACATCCACCCTGATTGAATTGGCCCTGTCAACACTGGTTCTCCACTTGTGAGGTAACTCTCTTCTCTTCGTGTGTCAGTATAATAATGCCTGCATCTGTAATTTTCACTCCATGGATCTGAAGAAGTGAGGTTTTTACCCACGAAAGCTTATGCCCAAATAAATCTGTTAGTCTTTAAGGTGCCACCGGACTCCTTGTTGTTTCTGTGTCTAGTTATTGCAGACTGTTTAACCTGATCCCATGATCATGGCTGAAAGCCACACACTCAGGGAAGTTAATAGTCTTGTCATGGCGAAACATCTATATGATCAGGTCTGTAGTATACAATATTCATCATACCAGAAGTCCCTTCATAGAACAACAACTTGTTTGCAATATTCAAAAGGAATGTTATAAGCCACCAGCACCCTATAATAGGCTTATGTAAAAACGTTCTAGTCAGGCTGTTTTTGCTAGGTTTGTCTTTATGATGTTTTAAAAAAAAAAGGGGGGGGGGGAAATCTATTTCTTACACCTTCATTTGCTCCTCCTTATTCCTGGACATTTTGTGTACATCAAAATCATCTCTAAAAGTAACTGTGATGTTACAAAAAAGAAGAGGAATGATTAAGTAAGAAACATGCAGCCGGAAAAGATAAACTAAGGGACAAAGTGTTCAGCCTGGCCTTACAAGCATAAATAATTGGAGTACAATTTTTGTGCAAATGAATAAATTGTTCTTAGATGTCCATGTAACAATAAATGCAGATACAAAACTGGAACTGAGTGCAAAAAATGGATACCAACATTTAAAACACTTAATGTATAGGAAAAGAGATCCTAATTCTTTGCCCGTATCCATAGCTTTAAAAATAAGAAAACCGTATGTCATCTGCCCCAGAAGAGTAGGAGGGAGCATAATTTCTAAATAAAAAATTTTCATCCTTTCCCATAATAGATCAGTAGCTTCTGATAATTTAATCTACAACTCAGTATTTGATTTTTTAGAGAACAGTAAGATTTCTAATGCTATTGACTGTGTATTCTCACGGCACAGAACTAACTGAGCTTTTACTAAAAACAACAAAGTGGACATGAGTTATATAACACATAATGGTTCCATTACAGTCTATGGGACAAAGTCTAATTTTTGCCCAAGACAGCAACAGCTCCCTCACAGCTGTTTACTATTTATAATGTATGCCTACTTTGACATCTCTGCTGATTATGTAACTGGTACACATGTGATCTAAGGTCTAAAACTACATATGTAGTTTTAAAGTGCACATGAAATAAAATTATTTTCTAAATTTAGAAATATTTTTTAATCTCTTCCTTCTATTGCAACACAGTGTCCATATTTGGGACTCAAAGCAAATAAAAGGCCACTTCTGAAAGCAATAAAAGAGAAACTTTTCTTCACTCCTAGAAGCCTAAAGGTGTATTGAGTTATTTTCTAAATTTTGTAAATCATAATAACCTGGGGCATTGAAATCAATAGGACTGCTCATATGAATAAGGGTTTGTCGAATCAGTTCCTAAGGGCCAAATTCTCCAATGCAATGTGGCTAATTTGCAGAGAATTGTTGGCATAAGCTTGTCCAAAGGAGAGTTTAATGGGCTTAGGAAGGATCATCTCAGGGTAAGGATGACCTTTCAGTGTTGCAGAGGCACTGTAAATGTTTGTATACCAGCCTGCCAGCATAGCAGGGAAAAGGGGACATGGCCCTATGTTTTGCACATTTCTGGTCCCTACAGACTGTTTGCAGCCATCACAGAGCTGCCCTCAGGATGCAGTGGGACCAAGTCTCCACAGAGCTGCAACAGGATCAGGGGAGTGCAAAAAAATAGAGTTTTATTTCCACCTTTGCACACCTCAACCTCAGTGCTCTGGGCAGATCAGCTACCTTACACCCCACCCCCCGGAGTGGGCTTCATATTTCCAGTAAGATTCAGTCATAATGAAGGTTTTGTTTTTTTTTTTAAAGAAAGGACACACAACCCCCCTGCAAATATAGTTAGTTATAAGGGAGACATTGATAGGCCTTTGTCTACAGCTCACCAGCAAGTTTCACTGAAGATATTCTTTAAATGAAACTCTCACCATTTCTCTAAAAAAACTGTTTTGAGAGATGTCCTACACTGGAGTTCTCAGCTTCAGAATCTCTCAGTTAATTGATATACACAATGCTTTTGGAGTCACAGGGTTTTTTTTAAAAAACAAAAACAAAAAAACCCCACCTGTGCTGACATAGATGGATTAAATTCTACAGGTAAGAACTTTCCAATAGGGGACTATAAACACCAGCCAAAAGCACAGATTTGGCTCAGACCCTTAAAAAAAGATCAGTGCTGTAAAATTAAAGCCAAAAACTGTTCCAGACAAGCATTAATGTGAGAAACTCATTTGAGAGCTGCATGAATCCTAAATAAGTCAAATTACAATCTCCTGAGCCCAGAAGTTATGGTATTCCATATAACATTCCCCATTACTTACTAGACAAGAGAGTGTTTTATTAGCAACTCCAAGTGCCATTTAATTTTAGTTGCATAGCTCTAACTAAAACCTGAACTCTAACTTTGTCTCAGCACTGTTTGATTTAATCAGATATATTTTTCTATTAATATTAAAAACAGACATTATTAAAATTTCAGCATTATTTTGCTTTTACCTTCACTACTGCATGCCAGAGATTTGCTAGTGCAAAAGCTCGTACAGCTAGTAGCCACTGTGTTACCTGAGGATTATTTGTTGTATATTTTATACTTGAAAGCATTTTTTTATATGCAGTTGTTTGCTCTGAAGACATGATGTTTAAATAGTCAAGGAAAATATACGGTTTCTGGTTGCTCAGTAGTCCCATAGGATATTCACTCAATGTGGCAGCAAGGATGGAATGCAGATCAGAAGGTTGCAGTTCAGAATCCAACTCCTCAAGAAATGCAAGTTGCAATTCATCCTCAATAATACCCATTTCTAATTCCAACAATTGCCTTTTTTGATTGTACTGTAGCTCTGACAGCCAGAAATGTGCAAAATGTACAAAGTTATCTCCAGTGCAACATCAGACACTCAAGTCACTAATGGAATTATATGCTTTCTCCAGCCAATCTGTCACAGAAGTACTATCAAAGTGGTTAAAAATCTTATCAAGTCGTCCTCTCTCAGGTGAAAAGAGCAGATGAGATGAATCCTTTGAAGAGACAGCTGCACTTAAATTTAACCTTGTTGGTTCACTCAAATGAGGAGGCATTTTCTTGCCAATATGAGGCAAAGGTACAGCCTTAAATAAAGAACAATTCCTGATCTTAAGAGAAAAGAATTCCTTTTGTAAGCTACTATTAACATCAACTTGAGAATTCTTCAACAAGGAACATACGTCTGGAAGGTGAAGGATCTCATTTTGGCTATTTGGGCCACTTTCACTTAAATGTTCATGGTTTAAAACGTCTTCCTCCTCCATATTCTTATGGGAGACAATCATAGCTCTTCTGTCCTTCAAACTTTGCATTTTGTTAAACAGTAATACAGAATATTATTAACCCTAGTTGCAGCACAGACAAGCACAGCAAGTCACAAGTCAATGGATCTCAATATGAACCTGAAAGAAAGAATGAATACAGGAAATTAACTCATGGTCAGTCTCCATCTTCAACTGCTTCTCTTAAAGTAAAATATACACATTTTCATCATATCCAAACAACATTATCTGTATTACCAGGTATTATTTAGGGATCTCCACATCATGAAGGGAAAAAAAGAATAGCTCAACAGCAGAATGTAGTTGAGGAACCTAATAGTATAGTTTGTAAGGAGGTCCCCCTAACTCTTTTCCTTGAATATATTCAAGCAGATTTATCCTACACTTATGAAAGTGGATATTAATGCTATTAATTTTAACAGGTTCTAAAAATGTTATTTCTATACACAAAATTTAAGATCATGGCCTCTGATAGCAAGTGTCCCTCTACTCTGCTGCACATTTAATGCTGGTTTCTCCTCTTTTGCAGTTTAAAGTCACTGAGTTAGAGCTTACCTTTGTTGGGTGGTGGAAAGCATCACAAGTAACTCAGCGAATGAGACATCTGAAAACGTATTGCATAACAATACGCTCTACTTTAACCAATAAGATTGCAGTATGTAAGTGATCAGAGGCTTAACATCAGAGATCAGTTTTAAGTGTCTCTCTTTCTTTAATTTTTAAACATGGACATTAAAGTCAGAGGCAAAGTCTCAACTATTATGTCCATCAAAGCTGTTTTTAATAACGTTTCGTTTTCCCCCAGACATGTTTGTGTGTGCTACCTTCTGTACTTGCTAACTTTGTATGAAAGCACTCAGTGAAAAACTGCACAACTATAAGCCCTCAGCAGCGGGTTAAGTGCCTGGAAAACGTTCACATAGATTGGCACATACAGCACATGGAACAACATGCGCAGCTCAGAGGAAAGATCACCAGGCAAACTGATTGCACAAGCATGATTAGGGGTTACAATGTATATTGCAACAAACCAAATTGCTGATCCTGTTACAAGACGACCACCATCTGCCAACACAGGCAGTAGACAAGGATGAAATAGCTGCCATGGTTACTAACTGAATACTATGTGTGGAGCTAGACATGGCTTATATCCAGACTGTTAACAAATTTAAAGAGTTGTACTACAGAAAGACAGGTTCAAGAAGAAAAAGTCGCCATATCCACGTTGTCAATCCTCTGGTCCATTCAGTCTCCCTATCAGTTTATCATTCTATTGTTATTGTTCCTGGAAGAAGGGTTTGGTTTGTAGTGTGTGTGGCTTAGCGAGGGGCGGAGGAGAAGAGATTTGGTAATGAAAAGTTTATTGATCAGTCTTGTCAGTTTCTTTTTGTTTCATCTTACTGCTTGGGGGGAGGGATAGCTCAGTGATTTGAGCATTGGCCTGCTAAACCCAGGGTTGTGAGCTCAATCCTTGAGGGGGCCACTTAGGGATCTGGGGCAAAAATCAGTACTTGGTCCTGCTAGTGAAGGCAGGGGGCTGGACTTGATGACCTTTCAAGGTCCCTTCCAGTTCTAGGAGATAGGATATCTCTATTTATTTATTTGCTAGATTTAGAAGTTTCATCCTTTATGGGCCTCAAGTGGTAATAACATCTGTCCTCTAACATACCACAACCAAGCTTTCAGAGACCTTCTCTATAGTCACTTCCCCCCAACCCCCTTCCCACTGAGTAGCTGCCTGATCTGCCTGAAAGGCTGTTCAAGTGCTTGCCTCATCAAGGCCCTCTTCTGTTGCCAGTGAAGTCAACAGCAAAACATTCACCACCTTCTGAGAGAGAGTAGACTCACATCCTTAAGCAGATTGTTAAGGCTAAACCCTCCAGATGATGAGTTTCCAATACCCATTGGGCTAGATGAAATAGAGAGAGCTCTGCATCTTGCAAGAGCAGGCTCCAAATAGTTTGTTTTACATTTAAATCAAAAGCTTATAAATGTATATTTTAGTATAAGCATCAAGTTATCCTGGGTTTCCTAGTAGGACAATTTTTCTTGAATTTGAAAGTCAATCTCTACCAGAAAACTAATTTTTACTACTCCTTTGGGTAATTATACTGATTTTGTTTCAACCTATATATGCTAATAAAATTATTTAGCCAGACAGACAGAAACTGGAACACTAAACACAGCATGTATCCTACAGAGAAGATGAGATAACATGCAAGCTGAAGAACTGGTATAATAGTCACTTATTGCTTATTATAGTGACTGCTGTGCAGGATCAGATAACAGCATAACCTCAATGTACTTGTCTTTGTTTTTAAAATTTACACAACAGGATGTTTCTCCTGGGGGAATTCTACGCCACTGCATGTGCGCAGAATTCATGTCACCTGCGGATTTCTTGGCTTCCCCACAGAAAAATTGCTTTCTAAAAAGGGAAGCTGCAAGAGCAGTCACGCACCAATCCCTAGCAGTGCAGGTACATCGTTTCAGGCACCTGGAGTAGCTAGCAGAGAGGTAAATCACCGCAAGCCTGGGGACACCCCAGCCAGTGGCTCCTACCCTGAGCTGGGATTAGCTGCTAGTCCCCTCTGGGCTGGAGGCAGGACAGGACAGGACTGCCTCTTCCCCTGCAAGGGGTGACTGGGGCTGTGTCAGACCCACCCCCAGAAACCTCCCCCAGCTGCAGGAAGCTCATCATCCTCCCCTGCTTTCTGCCCCCATTGCTCCTCAGCTGTGGGGAGAGGGGTCACTGTGTGGGGAGCTGCTCCCCCATCCACCCAACCCCCATGCATCTGGACCTCCCATACTCAGATACCCCTGCCAAACCTCACATGGTACATCCAGAACTCCCCTAGCCCTCCATACCCAAACCCCACCCCACTAAACCTCAACCCCTGCATCTGGAGCCCCCCTGCATCTGGAGCCCCCCTGCACCCAGACCACTGCCCACTGAGCTCTCTGCACTCAAAGCCCCACCCTGATGCCTGAGCCCCCACATCCAGACCCCACCACTGACCCCCAATTAGCTGCACCCAGACCACCACCCCACCAAGCCCCACTCCCCCAGCACCCAGACCCTCCTACCGAGCCCCAACCATCTTCACCTGGAAGCCCCTGCAGAGCCCATTGCCCCTGCACCTGGAACCCCCTCCCCCCAACGAGCCTGTGCACATCCAGATGCCCTCCACACCTAAACCTCCCCACTGAGCTGCCTGCATCCAGATTCTCCCATACCTGGATCCTGCCTGGTTGAGCCTGCCTGCCCCACACCTGGTGCACCTGGCATAGAGGTGCAGGGCCCCAGGGTGTTTCTGGGGCAGACCAGTCCTTATGCTGTGTCAGGGTCGGGTGCAGCCTCACTACTGAGTCCATGTCCTGGGGGTGGGGGGAACTGCAGGGTGATCTCCCACCTTCATGTAGCCAGTGGCCTGTGCTCCCCACTGCCATGCTGGAGCCTCTGCATTTATTTCTTGACAAATAAAACTTGCAGAATTTTAAAATATTGTGTGCAGAATGCCCTCACGAGTAAGGATCTGCACAAAACACATCACAGCCACAATCGGACGTTCACTCCAGCTGGGAGTGAGCGCAAAAGTTTCTCTTTAGTCAGATTAAAAAGACAACAGTGCCCCCAGCAGGGCCGGATTAACTTTTTGTGGGCCAGGCTCCAAACATATTTGTGGGCCCCCCGGGGAATGATTGTAAAAGGGGCCGGAGGCAAAAGCACAGTGGGGCAGGAGCTCGGGTTGGTCCCTGGAGCAAGGGAGGTGCCAGGGGTAAATGGCAAGTGCAGCAGGGCTGGGGAGGGGGTAAACAGGATCCCCCCACCCCTGCCCACAGAGAGCGGGTACCTACCTTCTCCCTGGTTCTAGCCCATTCTCTTCATCTCTCTCTGCACTGAGCTGCCCCTCCTCCAGTGTGACAAAGTGGGAATGTTCTTAATGTTTTCTCTGAATACTGTGTGAGTGCCTCAGTTTCCCCTACGCATTTCTTAAGTATCTAGGTGGTGGGATAAGGGTGTGTGATTGTTGCAGAGCCATAGAGGGCAGGTGTGATGCTGTCTGCACAGAGAATGGCTGACACACTGTCTCCTGGCAACTGATGACCTGGGCCCCTCCCCTGCAAGGTGCCAACTGAAGGTGTTGGAGAACAAAGAGATCAGGTGGCCTCCTGGCCCGGGGAAAGAGACAAAGGAGGGGCTGGAGGGGGTTGCAGTTTGGAGCTGGCTGGGGAAACGGAGGGAGGCCCAGCACTGGTGTCTGGGCTCCCTACCCCACAAGACAGACCTGACTGAGGGGTCCTGTTTTCCATACCTACAAGCTCTGATTTGACTGTGTTCCTGTCGTCTAATAAGCCTTCTGTTTTACTGGCTGGCTGAGAGTCACGGTGAATCGCACGAAGTAGGGGGTGCAGGACCCTGACTCCCCCACACTACGTGACATCCAGCAGCAGCAGGACAGGTTCTCTTCCAGCCCTCTGGGGTGGGTGTTGGGAGTGGGAGGAGCAGAGGGTAATGTGGTTACTTCTATAACTGGACTTTTAGTTTCCGGTCAGCACTGCTAACCGAACACCCAGGTCCCATTTTCTACTGGAGTTTCTAGTCTAAAACTGGATACCTGGCAACAGGGGTGCCAGAAAAGCCTGAAAGTGAGAGGGCTAAGCCTTAAGTGATGGGAAGCAAGGGGTGGGCGGGCTAGGGAGTGGAGAGGAGCTAAGGGGCAGGGCCATGTCAGCTATACTGCCCAGGTAGGTTGGAGACTGTGGGGATCAGCTTACACAGTATCCCCAGCCCAGGTGACGTGACAGCCAGTGGTGGATTTAGAGTTAATGGGGCCCCCCCGGCCCTGTGCTCAGCTTCATTTTTGGGGCCCCTCCTTGGGACCCAGACAAGAAAAAGAACATTCTCTCTTATCTCCCCCCAGCCCCGTTTTTCATTCCCCCTCCCCTTCATCCTCCTCCTATAAGTAATAGCAAGTCAATGAAAATAAAATGAGGTACCTTGATTGTTCTTTAAGACTAACAGTTAGTCTTAAAGGTGCCACAGGACCCTCTGTTGCTTTTTACAGATTCTGACTAACACGGCTACCCCTCTGATACTTGATTGTTCTTGTAGTCTAACTTATTTTTCCACAGACCACTTGAAAATTGCAGAGGGTCTTGATGGACCACTTATGATCTTTCCCAATATTGTAAAAAAACATTGGGGTGCGGGGTCTGGGCAGGAGCTAGGATGAGGGAGGGGGCTCAGGGTTGGGGCAGAAGGTTGGGGTGTGGAGCGCTTACCTGGGGCAGCTCCTGTTTTGTGCGAAGGGTACAGGAGCTCACGTTTGGTGATCAGGATGGGGGTGGGGATGTGGGGGGGGTTCAGGAGTCAGGGCATGGGGGGGCTGGGTATGTGTGGGGGTGAAGGAGTCAGGGGGCTCAGGGTGTGTGAGGGGGGTACAGAGGGCTGTGGGTGTGTGAGGGTGCAGCGGTCAGGGTGGGCAGAGGGCTGTGGGTGTGGGCTGAGGTCGTGCAGGTGCTCATGGCAGGGGTATGCCCTGATTCCAGCCCCTTCCCTAAAGCCCCGCCTCTTCTCCTCCTCGGAGCAGCAAGCCTGCTGAGGCTGCCTCCTCCTTCCTGCCAGCAAGCAGCTGATCGCGGGGGGGGGCAGAAGGTAGCAGGCTGGGGAAAGAGGCGGGGGAGGAGCTTGGCTGCCGGCAGAGCCTGCCCTGCTGCAGCAGGAGCCGGGAGCACTAAGCTTCTGCCCCCATGGGGGGGGGGGCGGAGGGGAGCCGGCCGGACCGGGACCCCTTTGGACCATGGGCCTGGCGACCTGGTAAATCCGGTACTGGCCCTCAGTCCCTGGTCCCTGCGAGGGAAGAGTTAGTAACTCCAGCAATGGCCTGACTCAAGCAGAGCCACGTCCGCCACCCCGCCCGCAAGCCCCCCGGCGGCGGGAACGGAGACTGCAGCCCCTCCCTTCACCTGCAGCCTGACGTTGAGCATCATGGAGGCCACGATGTAGAGATAGGGGAAGTTGATCCGGAGCTTCCAGGCCAGGTCGAAGAAGATGAGGAGGGTCCTGGTCAGCCCCTTGCAGAAGACCCCGTAGGACCTGGCGGCGGCCGATTGCGAGAGCCTAGCAGCCAGGGCGGACAGAGCCGCCGCCATATACACCCCGCCCCCACCGGGCGCTCGGACTGCACCGCCCCCACTCCGTACTGACCCGCTGGGGAGCCGATCCAGGGCCTCTCACCTCCCCTCAGCCGCCCCCAGCCCAAAGAGCCCGGATGTCGATCGCAATGGGGGAGAGGGGAAGGAGAACTGACAACTATGAAATTTACATACGCAGGTCCCCCGCTTGCTACGTCACAGCGGTTTTGCGTTATGACGGCACGGCGCAACGACGCAGGCTCGGGGCTACCAAAAAAAAAAAAAAAAAAAACTGGGCAAAGAGCGTCCCTCCCCCGCGCACGGGCAGTGCTCGCGGAGCCGCTGGGCTCCAGCCCCGCCCACCTCAGGACTAGGCGCATGCGTATTAAGACTATGAACGCGTTTCAGGCCGATAGGGAGGGCATGTGCAGTAGTGTCCTTACAAGCAGAACAGGCGGGAACGAAGGAGGGAGTGACTCAGACGACGGGAAGCAGGGAGGAACTAGAGGGCGTTTGGGCCTTTTCCCCCTGCGGAGAACAGGCAGCCAGGCAGGGCGAGGCCAGCACAGGCTCTGGCTACTTTACCGTTGCCAAGGGCAGGTTGAGTGCTGACTAGCTCAGGCTCTGCCCTAGTCGGTTTTTCGTGAAGCAGAGGGAATTATGTGAGGGTCTTCCCTTGACTCTGCTGGATAAAAGCTTAACAGTGTGACCCAGGGGTGCCCTGCTGCAGGGGTAAGAAAGGAGTGTTGCCCTAAGTTCTTCCTGTCTAGCTCTAGGCTGAATCCCTCTGCTCTGTGTTTTCATAGGAGGTATATTTTGTATTCATTTTATTCTAGCACAAGCACCCTAGAAGTGCTAAACAGCTGCTCTAGCGCAGGCACAATCAACTAAACAATTTTCCATGCAAATATTTTTTTAAAATAAACCACATTCTTTGCACCACTTAGGCAGCCAGACAGCTATCCCTAAACCAAGAGAAAAGTTGTTTGTTTTACTTCAATGAAAGCTTTATTTAAATTTTAATAGTACAGTATTGAAGAACCATTCATCTATCGATTTTCAATACACTTTGCAAAAGTTTCTCACAAACCCTCTGGGATAAATTAATAATTTATACTCACTTTACAGATGGAGAAACAGGTACAGAAATGTGACTTGCCCAGTACAATAAGCCAGTGGCAGAGCGAATAGAAGGGATTTCAGGGCGCTGATTTTTCTTCCACGCCACAGGGAAACAGGTGCAACACTATTAGGTTTCATTGTTGTAAACACTGGTATTAGATGAAAAAAATCAGGCCTCTGAAATATTTTTATAATTGTCTTCTGAGTACACTCCTTTCCCATATTTATTTTAGGACCATTTAAATCATAAAAGTTGCATTTAAGGCTCCCTGCATTAAAAACAGTCTGAAATCATAATTGTTTATATGATTAACATTAAAATCTTCCAGTAGCACTGTAAAAATATTTTATTGCCACTTAATTGCTTTAATGCACAGATATATAGCAATCCCAAGAGGACTGAATACATTCCCAGGTTGATCTACACTTTTGTTTATAATATTGTTTTGGCCAGTCAATGTTTTCAGTGTAGGGGAGAGCACCTAGGTAACTCATCTCTGCATGCATTTGTAACTGCAATCAGTATGAGCCCAATGCAGGAAACTGAAAGTACTAGCTTTTATTGCCAGAGATAGAAATATTTAGGCTAAGTTGGGGCAAAGCTACTGTCCACATTGTGAGTGAGTGAAGAGGGGCTGTCAGCCCAAGAAAAACTCAGTGTCAGCCCCAAGTCCTTTCAGGCAGGCACACAGACAGACAGGGACATACAGACCTTTCCCTTTGCACTTCTCTTCCCCAGTGGAAAAGGAATCCAGCAATTCCCTTTCTGAATTACATGACTGCAGGCAGACAGCCCATAGACCTTTTTAGCTGTTCCATGTTGTTACAGGTAGAGTATTAGGCCTGGTCTACACTAGGACTTTAATTCGGATTTAGCTGCCTTAATCCGAATTAACCCTTCACCGTCCACACTACAGAGCCAGTTAATTCGAATTAAAGGGCCCTTTAAATCGATTTCTGTACTCCACCTCGACGAACGGAGTAGAGCCTAAATCGATTTTGTTAATTCGAATTAGGGTTAGTGTGGACGCACACCACCGAATTACTGTGTTTAAGTTAATGGGGTAGTGTGGCCGCACACCACCGAATTAATGTGGTTTAAAACCGAATTAAGGTGCTTAGTGTGGCCGCGCACAATCGAATTTATACAACCTGTTTCCCAAATTCGAATTATCTAAATTCGGATTAATCCTGTAGTGTAGACATACCCTTAGAAGCAGCATCTTGAGGCAGTGAGCAGAATCATCTGGTCTGACCTGTGATTGGCATTGGTACACAGAACCAAATGGGGCAGGGTGGAACATAACCTGGATTGGTCTAAGCCAGCAACTGGATCAGTCACTGGACTAGGCCCAAAGGTGGGCACTTCTGTAAGCAGTGAGGGCTAGGGTTATTTACCAACTTTCTAATCGCACAAAAAAACACCCTTGCCCCGTCTCTTCCCCTAGGCCCTGCCCCCACTCTGCCCCTTCTGAGGCCCCACCCCTGTTCACTCCATCCCCCCTTCTGCTCTCCCCCACCCTCACGCCCTTGCTCATTTTCACTGGACTGGGGGTTGGGGTACAAGAGGGGGTGAGAGCTCCAGCTGGGGGTGCAGGCTCCAGGGTGGGGCTAGAAAGGAGGGGTTCAGGGGGCTCCATGCTGGGGTGCCAGCTCTGGAGTGGGCCAGGGATGAGGGGTTTGGGGTGTAGGAGGGAGCTCCGGGCTGGAGCCGTGGGGTTCAGAGTGTGGGAGGCAGCTCTGGGCTGAGACAGGGAGTTGGGTGTGAGCGGGGGTATGGGCTCTGGGCTGGGGGTGCGGGCTCCGGGGTGGGGCCAGAAATGAGGGGTTCAGAGTGCAGGAGTGGGCTCAGGGCTGGGACAGGGGGTTAGGGTGCAGGATCTCGGAGGGCGTTTGGATGCAGGAGGGGGTAAGGGGTGTGGGCTCCAGGTGGTGCTTACCTCAGGAGGCTCCCCAGAAGCAGCGACATGTCCCTGAGCTCCTAGGCACAGGGACAGCCAGGCAGCTCTGCACGCTGCCTCAGCCTGCAGGTGTCACCCCTACAGCTCCCGTTGGCCACGATTCCTAGCCAATGGGAGCTGCAAAGCTGGCGATCAGGGCGCGGGCAGCACACAGAGCCCCCCTGGCCACACCTCCGCCTAGGAGCCAAGGGACATGTCGTCACTTCCAGGGACCTGCCCGGAGCCAGGTAAGGAGCCTGCCAGCCCCGCCAACTGGACTTTTAATGTCCTGGTCAGTGGTGCTGACCGGAACTGCCAGGGTCCCTTTTTGACCGGGCGTTCTGGTTGAAAGCCAGACACCTGGCAACCCTAGATTGAAGGCATATTCACATTCATTATTTCTGATACATATTTTTATAGATCCAATATGCCCAGACTTTGCCTGCAAGGAGTGAGATCATGTCATTGTCCTCTCCACATATGGTTTTTAAGTGCCCCATCAGCACTAGAGTTCCTGCCGTTGTGTACTGGAAGAAGAGACTGAAATAGTGCTTAGCCTTTGTGCTAGGGCTACAGTGAGGGGAAATTGCTTCTCTCTTATCCACCCACCTCATGTGTAGTCCTAGACACAACCTGGACATCAACTAATTAAAAATGTGATTTAGCACAGGGGTTTTCAACCTTTCTCTCTGAGCCCCTTCCCCCCAGTGCTATAAAAAAAATCCACAGCCCAGCTGTGCCACAATAACGGTTTTTCTGCATATAAAAGCCAGGGCCATCATTGTGGTAGCAAGCAGCGCAATTTCCTCCCCTCCCCCCGCTGCATTGCTCAGGCTTCAGTTTCAGCCCCGGATGGCGGGGCTTCAGGGCCCTGCACTGGGGCTTTGGCTTTCTTCCCTGGACCCCAGGGAGTCTAATGCTGGCCCTTCTTGGTGGCCCCCCTGAAACCTGCTCATGGCCCCCCAGGGGCCCCAGACCCCTGGTTGAGAACCACTGATTGATGCAATACTTTGAGTCTGCTAAGTCTATCAAGTTCATTGTTTCCTGCTGCCCCAAAATATTTAAGTTTTCAGTTATTTAATTGTACTGCAGTGTGCAAACTAAAGGTTAATTTAGGGAAGCCAGATAAACTTTTAAGTTGATATCTGCCCAGATTCTCAATAATTCTGGCCCATAATGCTTACTGAAAGCATTATGACCATCATTTATACATTTTATTAAGACTATTAAACCAAAAGATCAAGAAAACATCAATACTGAACTATTAATTCAACAGTACATTTGTCAAGTTCAAATCAACAAGTTATCAATATTGTAATCTATCAAATCAGATTAATCCTTATAAATCCAAAAAAAGAATCTAAGGAGGTGGCTGTCCATTTTTTTTTTGAACCCCCACTAAATAACTTTATCAAACAGTCAAACCAGGACTTGGAGCAGGTAAAATATTTGGAGGCTGAAAACAAATTATTGGTGGTGTCTAAACCACAACCTCAAAACCAATCAAAGCTTCCTCGAGTTTGAATTTTTGCATAGTAGCTAACCCTTTTCCTCCCTGCTGACCACACACCATCCTGCAGATATAATGTAGACCTTATCAGAACACTGAGAAGCAGAAGTTTGGCAACTCTTGTTTGACAGTTTACCAATGACAGCTTTATATTTCTTAGGAAAGTTAGTTTTCCTAGTCCATCTGTTTGAGGATGTAATTTCCCTCTTTGCATCCCTCCACTTGCTCCATCTTTTCACATCAAACATAAGCTGCTTGTCTCCACTTTCCAGACCATCCAAAGTTTATCCTTACCTTATCCATCTTCTTTCATTCAGTATCAAAATGTTGACTCCCACCGCAGATTCAATGGTGCCAACCTCCATCACACACTTCATTAAAGGTTAAAACAAGCACCTATGTGCTTCTTTCCTTGCTTCCCCTCATTCTCAGGAGGAGCACCGCATAAACATCCTCAAAGCTACTTCATTATTTTCCTTCATACCACTCCTTAAAACAAGATAAATCACCTCTTCTGTGATTTCTACAAAAAACACTGACAAACATTAGGCTGCTAGTGTGTTGATACCACAGCCTATCTTGCTGACCAAGGTTGTTGTATTGTTTTCTTGTACTTATCTATCTGTAGGAAAAT